AAAAACTAAAAGCTGCAAAAAATATATTTTCAAACTATTTATTGTCAAATTTAGTCTAATAATTGAAAACATGGATMAAATAAGAAATATGAAACAAATAAAATAAAATACATACAACGTAGAGCACAGCTAAATGTATCAAAAGCATGTCTCTGTAATATTAGAATTTTCTGAGACAATGAATTTTGGTTTTTCATTTTTTTCCCCTGTAAGAGGTTTTTATTTACTAGAATTTTTGGACAAAAAAATCGCAATGTATCGCCTTGCTTATAGTATCGCAATATATCGGGATATATATCGTATCGTGACCCCTCTGTCATGATATGTACCGTATCGCCAAATTCTTGCCAATACACAGCCCTAATGCAAAGTAGATAAAACGGGTGATATATGCTCATGTCTAGAAGTTAAAAGATGGGCAAACATGTTCTGGACAAGTTGAAGTTCTCTTAGGGAAGATTGAGGGACGTCAATATAAAGTCCGTTATAATCAAGTCCAGAACTAACAAATGCATGAATGACTTTAACTTTGGTCAGTAGACGTAAATGGTAAAAGCTAGATTTGACTACAGAGTCAATTTGTCTATTTATTTAAGCTCCTGATCGATTATTACCCCAAGATTTCTGACAGTTGCATTTATCTTAAAAGGTAGGGCACTGTCATCTGTAGTGGCAAAGTCACAGAATATTCTAGCAGTGCTTGTTTTTCTGTTTTCCGTTTGATATTTGTGCATTTTTCAACAACTTTTGTTTTACAATGAGACCAAATGAGGCAATTGTCCTGTATGTTTTTGTATTGTACCTAATTTGAGAACCAGCTATTTAATGTTTCTGCAGCCGTTCGTCACGTTAGAACAAACTGTGTTACAACAGCAGTTAAATTTTAAGTTTAACTCTCCTGTACAGGTGTGAAGCTGGCTGCCTCACACAACCTGTACCCCATTGTGTGCATTTGTGTCTGTGTCTTTGTGTGCATGGATTTATGTGTTACTGCCTCACTGGCCTGGAACAGAAATGACGCACACACAAACACATCTGCAACCAGTTACCACACAGTTAAATCATTATTACATCACTCAGCATTTCTTTACGCTCTCGCTCTTATCATCTATTTTCATGATAAATTCTGATAAATTCAGAATGTAACATGACACTCTGTTACTACAAAGAAACTTAACCCTACTTCTGTCCTCATGTTAAAAAAAGACCCCCTGAGGTGTCATTTTGAACTAAGAGCAGCAGGAAGTACAGGTTCTTAACAAATATCAAATGTTGTCAAATCTCATCTCTTTTTTTGAAGGGAGCTGAAGGGGGTTGTGGTCAGCCTGAGCTCAGATGGTCATCTGTTTTGCTCATATATGGGTACAGACCCCTCCTTCTTCTCAACACCTAAAGTAGATGCCAGGGAGGTTGACTATGAGCAGGTGGACGTTGAGATGAAGAAACTGCAGAGGTTCATCAGAGAAGCTACCCGGACTCAAGGTAGAAGGTTTTTAAAAGAGTTAAAAAATTATCCTAATAATCAAAATGCAGCTACTTCCTGCTACTTTATTGAAAATCTAAACATTCTTACTAGGATTATAAGCATTTGAATAAATTGTACTTGTACATACAGTTTACTTAATATAAAGGAAACTGTTAATAATCGGAAATAAAGTTGGAATTTATTTGTCTCCTTTGAGTTATTTATTGGTTTGAATCATGAGTTAGAAATAGTTTAAATGTTTTCTGACAGTTTAATTTTAAGAACTTACATTTGTAAAATAATGACTGCAAAACGTCAGTGGTTCGTTTTTTTAAAATCTATTCATCTTGTTTCAGATATCCTTCCCAAAACCAACTCATTGGAGGACCTGTCTGTCACAGCCTCTGTGTCCTCCAGCCTGGACAAACCATCGGTAAACAAACCTGAACCACTCTTTTTATTTACTCACCAATAATCACAAAGATATAAAGACATACACACAGAGTCTCTTCATTCTGTTAAATCTTCTTTACAGCAAGCTCTCATCCAAGATATAGATGGTCTACCTGTCCCTTCAGTGACTGTGCAGGTAAATCATCAATTAATTTCTTTATTCTTATACAGTATTCTTTCATGGAGAAATGTAAATAACTCACTTAGTGCTTTGTTCTCTACAGGTGAAAGTAAAGGCCAATTCTGCTCTACAGTCATCTAAGCTATCCATTTGTGTCCAGCCTCCGTTGGCTGTCACTCAAGACCAGTTTGTTCTGGAGCCAATGGGTCAGTAAGCTGCATTACTTCTTTGTGTAATGTGTTTGTGTGTGTGAATCTGTTTTTTTTAAAGGGATCCCTGATTAGTTGTAACATTAAACTTTATTTGATAAACATTTATTTTACCTGTAAAATAAAGACTGTAAAAATACTGTAGGCTGTTTAGTTTTGTAAATTTTTAAAAATATATTTTAACACGGACTGAGCCATTTTATTTACACGCAAAGTATTCTGGGTAAATGATGACGTGGATAGGTCCTTGGTGTGGGCGAGCTATATCCACCCTGAAGGTTAATCTTGGACAATATCTGACGATCGACTCTTTTAAATGAAACCAGAGAGCGTTGACAGAGAGGAGAAGGTAGAAATGACTCAGCCTGMAACTGAAAARATYGATGGAGGACAACAGAGCTGCTTRATGGAAGAAGAACCTCAGCTTAGCCTGTTAGCRTRTGCGCTAGCGCCAACGCTATATTGTCTTATATGTATTAGCTCAGCGCTAGCGCGACAAACAAGCTAAACTGAGGTACTCCATCCATATTTTCAGTTACAGGCTGAGTCATTTTTGCGTTCCCCTCTCTGTCATGTGGATGGAGGACCTCAGTGACGAGAGGAGAATGTGTAGCACTGAGCTAATACATATATATGGTGATAGCGTCGGGGCTAATGCTAAAGCTAACAGGCTAAGCTGAGGTTCTTCTTCCATGGAGCAGCTCTGTTGTCCTCCATCTATATTTTTAGTTACAGGCTGAGTCATTTTTACCTTCTCCTCTCTGTCAACGCTCTCTGGTTTCATTTAAAAGAGTCGATCATCAGATATTGTCCAACATTAACCTTCAGGGCTCGCACCGAGGACCTATCCACGTCCTCATTTACCCAGAATGCTGTGCGTGTAAATAAGATGGCCCCGTCCGTGTAATATATTTTAAACTTTTAGTTTAAAAATGATAAAAACTGAACATCCTACAGTATTTTGACAGTCTTTATAATACAGTTAAAATATATGTTTATTAAATAAAGTCTAATGTTACAACTAATCATGGATCCCTTATAATATAATATAAGTTTAATTTAGGTCATTTTCTGAAATTGACAGAATTATTTGAGTTTTTGTGTTGAACATCCCCTACTACTTTTTTTGTATAGATTCTGAACAGATGCCTACATGTAAATCTTTTATATACACTGACAGTGACTGAGTGAGTGAGTGCTAAGTGTGTGCCGGCTTTTAGCTTTTCAGCTCTTATCAGTCTTTACATCAGGTTCTGTTGATCCCTGGATCCAGACAGTGCTGACTTTGAACTGAATCTTTCAGACAGTTCATACACACAACCTTCTAACCCCAAAACAGTATTCTGTCAGCTCATTAAAACGACATTAAGCATCCCATATCATCGTGTCAACCATCTGGTTTGAGCTGTTAGTCACGTTTTAAATCCATTTTTTCCCTGCAGATTTCAATCAGAAGCTGCTCATAATGCCATGGAAATGTACATTTTTAAAATGTGTGTGGCCCCACAGCGAGTTAAACCTCTGACCCTGGTGGTTTTGGTGCCCTCCTCTTCCTGGTCTTTGTATGGAGCGTGGCTCAGAATCTCTACTGTGTTAAATCAAACCAACAATTTTTATATTGTCTAAACTAAATGGAAATACTTTTGTTGCACATTGTTTATTTGATGCAGTTTCCATTGAAGAGTCAAATTATGAAAAGGATAAACATGCTATTGACAAGGTCACTTAGACATTGCTCATAAGTAAATATACGACTGAACATTATAGTACTTTTAAAATATATTCATCTACCTCAATAACTACTAATGTCGTTCCAACATATCACATCATAAAAGATTGAGGGAAACTGTTAATGCCCCCACTAAAAACATATAACTGAGTACCTTATAAGGGTGCTTTGCAATTAGCCTACTGCATTGGGGTCATAGTTAAAAAACCCTATTATATGTAAACACCCTCAGCCTTCTCTCAGCTGGATAAAGTAGATTTCTCTACTACATTTAACAATGTTTATCCTACACTTCTAATCAAAAAACTCTAAATTATGTACTGTAAATAAAAACTTAACAACTTTCTCAACTATTATTATAAATACGTGTGACTGAAGGGCTGTGTGTCCCATTGGGTGGTTAGATCCTAATCCGTAATTTGTTTGTTTACCCGACCTTACACCACATTTTCTTTGCTTTTCCAAATTAATGATGAACCAACTGTGACGACTCTTAAAATAATCTGCTACAAAGATGATTTGTACAAACACAACCATAACAGTAGAAATACTTATATATACTATTTTTCACCTCAGATCTTATCTTGTTGTCTTTTAATCTGCAGATCTGTCACAGTAAGAGCATAAATCTCACTCAAGGTCACGTATCAAAGGCCACATGTTATGCTAACACAGTAAGGATAGTGTTGGCTAACATTTTTTAAAGTCATGCACTCATGCGTATTACTAACAGACAATTCCCCCTTTTACTATAACTCCAAAACTGCTCCTGACATTTGCTGAAACTATCATCCATCACCGAGGAGTAGACACCGAGCTTTGAGACGGACCTGAGTAGATTGTGAATTTATGATTTCAAGATGTGAGCAGCTCTGGAGCATCATCCATTTGCTCTAAGCCCTGACTCAAAGTGGCCACCGCTTTCCTATGATTCATGATTCACATATACAAAAATGTAATGTGTTTTACCACAGTGCATTCTTATCTGTACATAAGCTGTACATGAACTGTTAATGCAAGCATGATGGAGTTTTTGCACTGTAAAATATATTTCTAGTAGAGATGTTTATTGTTTTATAATAGTTTTTTATATCCTTTATGCAGAGCAGCCTAGCAGTAAAATAGAGATTAGCAGTTAGGGATGTAGCTTCACAGTGGAAATGTTTCAGCCTTTTTATGTGATTAATAAAGGCAGCCACTTGTGGTCCTATGCACCTAATCTGGATAACCTTAATATGAACAGAATATTTATCATTATTTGCAGTGCAGTTTTGCTACAGTGTTAAGATTGTGTATGACTCTTATTGTATTTTTGTTTATATATGAGAGTTAATACTGCAACCTGAAACAAAACTTGGTTTGAGAAACATTGCATGAGCAGTAGTCTTTTAGGACTTAGCAGACAATGAAAGGGTGCCAACAAAAACTCCCAGCAAATCAAAACCAAATTTACTCGAGAAGATGCTTTAAAGGAACAAAAAGCTTCTGGATATGCCTGGTTGCTCTGGTTCCTCTACGCTTTGCTTTTTGGCAGCAGCTGTTGACTTTTCACTGTTTATGTGGAAGATCAGAGGCTGTGAGTCATTGCACTGCCACATTTACACCACTAAAGAGATGCTTTGTTTATATGAGTTTAGGTAGCGGTCAAACGGGTCAAATTCAGAAGCCTCTTTCAAACACGTATGCATGATACTGATATACACATTGAAGGAAATGAAATTCTTACACATGCTTATCCATGGATGCTTAAACACATGCAGGTGTCTCTACACCATGTCATTAAAATGTAAACACATAGACTCTGAGTAAAGCAGCTTTGTGTGTGTTTATGTCATGCTCTCTTGTCTTCCTACTCAGAAATTGGGCACTGGGTTTTCAGAGACATTCAATAGCTCTTTGCTGTTGAAAATACGTATAGATACAGATGTGTCTCATTCCAGAGCTCTTTATGTTGATTTGGATTCACTTCAGAAAACTTAATTATCAGTCAGAGCTTTCCAAGAATCAATCAATCCATCCATCCATCCATCCATCCATCCATTTTCTGTACACGCTTCTTCCTTGTTTTTTATTATTGTCATTAGTGATTTTCTCAATTTCGGCTAAAATAATTGACAAAATCCTACACACTGTGCCTTTAAAAGTCACCCGAACTCAAACGTGACCTGAACTGCAATGGAAAACATGCATTTCTTCAAGGAATTCTAGGCCTTAATAATACTTTTTTATGGAAGTCAGCTAGAGAATCACATATCAGTGTTTAATGTGAAAATTTTATAGTCAAACAGAACAATCTGCAGGTTGTGATGTATTATTTAATCTACAGAATGTAGACGTGTGATAGGGCAGGAAGTCGAGAGTAGCACCTGAAACCAGACTGCACCTGTGTGAAATTGTGAGGACTAATTTGTGGTCCATGAAGGACAACAAACAT